CTCCCAAAGTGCTGGGATTACAGGCGTGAGCCACCGCGCCTGGCCTAAGACACTTTCTTAAACTTTTTTCTCACATTTCACCTTTTTTTTTTTTTTTTTTGAGACAGAGTCTTGCTCTGTTGTCCAGGCTAGAGTGCAGTGGTGTGATTTCAGCTCACTGCAACTTCCACCTCCTGGGTTCAAGCAATTCTCCTGTCTTAGCCTCCAGAGTAGCTGGGATTACAGGCATGCACCAGTACGCCCAGCTTTTTGTAATTTTATTTTTTATTTATTGATTTTTGAGACGGAGTTTTGCTCGTCAGGCTGGAGTGCAATGGTGTGATCTCAGCTCACTGCAACCTGGGTCCAAGCAATTCTCCTGCACTGGCCTCCCGAGTAACTGGGATCACAGGCATGTGCCATCACACTTCGCTAATTTTCTATTTTTAGTAGAGGCAGGGTTTCTCCATGTTGTCAGGCCAGTCTCGAACTCCCAACCTCAGGTGATCCGCCTGCCTCGGCCTCCCAAAGTGCTGAAATTACAGGTATGCGTCACCATGGCTGGCCTGTAATTTTATTTACTTATTGCGATGGAGTGTCAATCTGTCGCCAGGCTCGAGTGCAGTGGCATGATCTTGGCTCACTGCAACCTCTGCCTCCCAGGATTCAAGCAATTGCCTGCATGAGCCTCCTTAGTAGCTGGGACTACAGGTGCCCACCACCATGCCTGGCTAATTTTTGTATTTTTAGCAGAGATGGAGTTTCACCATGCTGGCCAGGATGGTCTCGATCTCCTGACCTCGTGATCCGCCCACCTCAGCCTCCCTCCCAAAGTGCTGGGATTACAGGCATGAGCCAGAAGATTCTAAGTTTATAGTCATATTTTATGGCTTCGAAAACCAAACCAACTACTGTAATCATGGGGGGAAAAAAAAAAAAAAAAAAAAAGTCCTAATGATGAAATTAGCGAACTGTGTTAGTTTGTCTTAATACATTAAATTTTGCAGCCAATACTGATTCTTTTAAAAACATTAAAATGGTTCAACTTCAGGATTAAAATTGCCATTGTTAAAATCGATTTACTGCTACTGCAAAATGGCCTAAAAAATAACAAACATCATGAATACTATAGGTGCCTAAAACCAAATTAAATTGACTATATAAACATGTACTGTGTACTTGGAGTGGGGAGAGATCCATTTAAAGGAACTTACCTCAGAAAAACGATCAAAATTAGACATGTCTTCATCTGAATCGTCTTCCCAGTCTTTCCAATTATTGAAGTCCACACTAAGCCAATTAAGCTATAAATTGATACAAAATCACCCTAATATTAGGCTAATTTGCGTTTGGCATGAACCTTAAGACATTTTCTTTCTTTCTTTTTTTTTTTTTTTTTTTTTTTTGAGATGGAGTCTTGCTCTGTCACCAGGTTGGAGTGAGGTGGCACAATCTCTTCACTGCAGCCTCTGCCCCCCAGGTTCAAGCAATTCTCCTGCCTCAGTCTCCTGAGTAGCTGAGGCTACAGGTGAGCGCCACAATGCCCGGCTAATTTTTGTACTCACTTAGTAGAGATGGGGTTTCAGTGTATTGGCCAGGATGGTCTCAATCTTTTGACCTCATGATCCACCCGCCTCGGCCTCCCGAAGTGCTGGGATTACAGGCGCGAGCTGCAACGCCCAAGACTACATTTTCTTTTCTTCTAAAGAGCCCAGGCCTTGCTATGTTGTCCAGGCTGGAGTGCAGTGAGCATTTACAGGTACAATCTCACTAATGATCTGTATGTGAGTTTTGACTAGCTTGATTTCTGACCAGGCATCTGGTTTACCCTCTTTAGGCAACCTGGTGGTCCCCACTTCCTGGGACAACACCATACTGATGTTAACTTAGTGTGGCTACCTGACTGACATATAGCACTGCAACCCAAAATTGGGTACAAGTGATCCTTCCGCTGTACCCTCCAAAGTAGCTCTTAACTACAGGCACACACTACTAGTGCCTGGCAAAACATTGCTGAACTGTGAACATATTTTTAGGAGGGCATGTAATTAGCACACAAAGAATAGACTAAGCTAGATGGGGTGGCTCACACCTATAACCCCGACACTTTAGGGGGCAAGGTGGAAAGATTAGTTCAGGAGTTCAAGACAGCCTGAGCAACAGTGGACCCTGTTTTCCCCTGTATCTGGGGAAAAGAGGGAAAGAAAGAAAAAAACAACTTTTGCCAAGCGCGGTGGTTCACGCCTGTAATCCTAGCACTTTGGGAGGCTGAGATGGGTGGATCACCTGAGGTCAGGAGTTCAAGACCAGCCTGGCCATCATGGTGAACCCCCATCTTTTAAAAAACACTTTCCTGGGTGTGATGGCACATTCCTATAATCCTAGTTATTTGGGAAACTGAGGTGGGTGGGAGGATCGCTTAAGGCCAGGTCGAGGGTGCAGTGAGCCAAGTTCACACTACTGCACTCCACCATGAGTGGCACAAGACTATCTCCAAAACAAAAGATTAGGCCAGTGTGGTGGCTTATGCCTGTAGTCTCCGCACTTTCGGAGGCTGAGGTGGGCAGATCGCTTGAGCCCCGAAGTTCAAGAACAGGCTGGGCAACACTGTGATACCCATTCTCTACAAAGAATACAAAAATTAGCCAGGTGTGGTGGCATACCCCTGTAGTCTCAGATACTTGGTGGGCTAAGAGGATCACTTGATCCTGTGAACCTGAGGCTGCAGCGAGCCAAGGTTGTACCACTGCAATCCAGCCTGGGTGACAAAGAGAGACCCTGTTTGTGGGGGGGAAAAAAGACCTGAAAATTGTTAAACATACCTTTTGATAACAAATTTACTAGTAAGAACTATTTTCAGTTGAATAATTTATTATTACACTAAGTTTTGTTCCCTCCTATGTGATAGCTGAGTAATGTATGCAAAATCTGTCTCTTAAGTACAAATGATTCTGTACCAGTTAGTAACTGATATTCTGATACTTCGTATTAAGTTAAAACTAAGTGGGCAAAAAACATGAACATGAGGCTTTATACTTAGCTGTGAAACAAAAACACAGCCGTATACTCCTTACATCAAATAAGTATATCTTTTATATCACCTAAAACAAAAATATTGAACTTTTCAAAAAAGGAAAATGAAACCTACCTTTGCCCTTTCTTTTGTTAACCTTGGCCATGACTGGCCAGATTCTCCTTTTCGTAAACAACATAAAATTGATCTGTCCGTTCTTTTATGCTTGGAATCCTAAAAACAAAAGGACCATCACACCATTTATCTCTCCAGTATCACTAGATGATAGAAAGTAGCTTGTCATTTCTCACCTTTTCCTTTCTTTACCTAAATTTTCTCTAGACTCTGAAAGAAACATGCCCTTGACTACTAAAAACTTCAAACTATCCAATTGCCTGAAACCCCTATACGTTACATTTCTTAAAATTTTTAATTTTTTTCCTATTTCCTACTGAAATAATCTGTAGAACAACAACAACAACAAAGTTTCAAGTTTAACCTGGTACCACTTTTTTCTTCACTGCACATGGTAAACAGAATAAAACCTTAAAAACTTAAAGTAAAAATGATATAACCATGGATTGGTTTAAAGATTCTATTCTTGGGCCGGGCGCAGTGGCTCACGCCTGTAATCCCAGCACTTTGGGAGGCCGAGGCGGGTGGATCACGAGTTCAAGAGATTGAGACCATCCTGGTCAACATGGTGAAACCCCGTCTCTACTAAAAATACAAAAAATTAGCTGGGCATGGTGGCGCGTGCCTGTAATCCCAGCTACTCAGGAGGCTGAGGCAGGAGAATCGCCTGAACCCAGGAGGCGGAGGTTGCGGTGAGCCGAGATCGCGCCATTGCACTCCAGCCTGGGCAACAAGAGCGAAACTCCATCTCAAA